GGGCTGCGGTTTGCACGGGCATGAGAGCCCATTCATTTGAATGGACTCCCGTGCCCCGGGACACGCAGGGAAGCACTTCTAAAAATGCAGCCCTCATGGGAACCTTGATTCCCAGCACGGGTTGCGATTTCCAGTGCGGGCTGCGTGCCGTTAGAATTAACGCAGGTCCATATTTTTCTGTGTGGGTTGTGCAGCTGCACGGATTTTTGTGCAGATCCCCAGCGGCACCACCCGCACATATGTGAACCTAGCCATAAAGAGAAAAAACCCCCAAACTTTTATGCTGGCAGTACATGCCTCGAAATGCAACCAATTTTTTTTTTTTTTGGCCGAAAATCGGACCCAAGAATAATCGACTGATTTTCGCTCTGTTAGTGGGTCAAGGGCACTGGCCAATTTTCGTGGTTCCTCCCCTTTTTGGGGATCAGGCATGTTGGAAAATTTGTGAAAAACTGATTTTTGACTCAATGATGGTACAATCGTTTCTCCGAAAAGAATATGCGCATGAGCAGTGACCTGGAAGGAACAGAAGTTTTGCCTGTTATAGGGTGAACTTTATGACTTGGTCAGCCGATTTTCAAAATCGTTGATGGCACCATTGGATTACCGAGCAACGGCGTTTTTCAGATGAAAAATTGTTCAAAATTGGACCCATATATGGCCTGCATTAGAACCACCAAGTTTAATTGATATAAAAGTGTTCCCTTAAAGGGTGTTGGCTCAGATAACTATTGAAAAACATTTTCCTAGATATTCTATAATGGACAGGAACACTTCTTACAACCAAACTGGCTGTATCTTGCCATAATATTATGACATTGCATTATTATATTTTGTATATAAATTGTGCTTACAAAATCATATCGATGTACGTTGCTTACAGGCCAACTGACAAAGTTCAGAAATAATTGATTTAAATGTAAGCTTCTATGCTAAACCAGAAAAAAAAACATAATATATAGCCGCAAATAAATCAACACAACAGACAACACTGCGTACAAATGTTTATTCTTGTGCTTTATCATAAAATATAAAATTCAAAAACATGCAATTTTCAGAGAATACAAAAAGAGCTGCTTTAAAAAGTGAAATATATAAAAGAGGTAGGGAGATTCAGTACATTACAATCAAATTCCTCTGTTTTTTACTCTCTGGTCTGAGCATTGTAGGTGATCTAAAGTCCTACTTCTGTCAGTCCACCACCATCCAGCTCAATGTCTAAGAAGGCTTTCATTAAAAAAAAAAAAAAAAAGTGCTAAGTCCTAGTACAATTTTTTACAAAAGGCATTTCCACATTAAACTACCAAAATAGGCTTGACTACATGGAAGGAGAGTGCATGGTACAAATGATACATCTGTATGCCCCAGACCACCAGTCTACTTGATGTGAGAAACATATGGAATTTCCTTGTGAATCTTTCCTTCGAGGGTATTGACCTAAAGATTTTTGTAACAGAACCTAGAGGAGAAAAGGATTAGGATGAAAGTCACAGGTCAACAACTTGTGCAGAATGGGACTTTGAACCTTTGATCTGAGACTTGAAAGACTCAAGGGGTGTCACTCCATTCCTTTCCCCTGTCCACTGGTCCCATTTCTTTATTGTAAATGAAGAACTTAAGAACTTTAGTTTTCTTTGAAATACAATGTTGTGATATTGTCCAATGTGTTTCCAACTTAATAAAGAAATCCAGGTATGAATATTTTACATAGTTACATTGGATCAGCTTGGACATAGTTACATTGGCCCACTGGGTATGGGTGCCATTCGGAGAAGACTTTGCATTTTCTCAGTGGATGCAAAGCATTCTCTGATTAGAGGAGGTGGAAAAAGTGTGAGGTCATCACCCTGCCTCTTCACCTTCTCCATTCAGAAAATTGGTTTGCATCCATTGAGAAAATGTAAAATGATCTCTGCGTGGGTAACCTCCTGTGTTCACAATGCAACAAGGAAGTGGCTTGACAAGAGACCCAGCAACAAGAGATTACTGTAGTAGCCGTGTCTACTTTGTATGAGACCCAGCAACAAGAGGAGAGCACTGTAGTAGCCGTGTCTACTTGGCACGAGACCCAGCGACAAGAGGAGAGCACTGTAGTAGCCGTGTCTACTTGACAAGGGGAGATCACTGTAGTAGCCGTGTCTACCTGGCACGAGACCCAGCGACAAGAGGAGATCACTGTAGTAGCCGTGTCTACCTGGCATGAGACCCAGCGACAAGAGGAGATCACTGTAGTAGCCGTGTCTACCTGGCACGAGACCCAGCGACAAGAGGAGAGCACTGTAGTAGCCGTGTCTACTTGGCACGAGACCCAGCGACAAGAGGAGATCACTGTAGTAGCCGTGTCTACCTGGCACGAGACCCAGCGACAAGAGGAGATCACTGTAGTAGCCGTGTCTACCTGGCACGAGACCCAGCGACAAGAGGAGATCACTGTAATAGTAGCCGTGTCTACCTGGCACGAGACCCAGCGACAAGAGGAGATCACCGTAGTAGCCGTGTCTACTTGGCACGAGACCCAGCAACAAGAGAAGATCACCATAGTAGCCGTGTCTACTACAGTGATTTCCAGCTACTAGATCAGCCTTTCTCAACCTTCTTAACATGGAAGAACCCTTGAAATTACTTTCTGGCCTCAGGAAACCCATGCTGATAATTACTACACCTACAGCTCACTGCACCTTTGTGTTTGTGGTCACTGGGAAAAATGATTCTTACATTGGTGGTCATTGCAAAGAGTTCACCCTTACAGATAGGGAACTTGGATTATGAAATGCAGAAATTGGTCAAGAAACCCCTAGCAATCTCTGGAGTTACCCTAGGGTTCCACAGAATCCTGGTTTAGAAAAGCTGTTCTAGAGGGAAGACACGGGTATGGTATGTGCACATTTACATTGGTGCAAGTGGGAACTATGTAGAAATATCCATAGCTAGATTTCTTCTTTAAAGGAAAAGTGGACTTTTGTCAGGAACTCCCTAAATTCCCTTGCCTCAGTGTCAGGATTCAGGAATAATAACCCATATAACATCGCATATCCTCTACCCATGTGTGGTGTGGCCTGTTCATAGCTGCTCCAGCATGCTCTCTATTTGGTTCAAGCATTAGGCTCACAGCTTGGCTCCTGCACCATGGTGGTGAGGATGGCCTGTCATAGAGAATATTGCCAGACTGTGTCTTACCATGATGTATCCATCACCAGACTGAAATCATTCTCTATGATAAAAGCATACCCAAATTCACAACACTGTTCCAAAGCTGTACCTCTAATGTTCACAGACCATCGAGGTGCCAGCTCCTCTGCTCCAATATTAAAATATGAGAAGATGAGAATGACATTCCGTAATTAGCTTGTTCTTGATATTTTATTCTTTTAGCAATAAAAATGGCAGTGTACATACAGTCTCCACCTAAGACACCACACTCCCTCAACTTATTTCACCCCAAAGGGCGTGTACCTACTTTATCCTTGTGAGAAAGCCCTTTGGGGTGAAGCCTTTGAGGTGTCTTGGGTGGAGGCTATACAGCTACTAAAAAATTAAGAATGAGCTAAGCTTGGAATGAGACTCATCTTCTTACATTCTCTTTGGTAGTTCGTTGCCATCATCTAGCAAAATGGAGCAGCCACAGAGATGGCCGATAGCAGACAGCCCAGCATAAAGAAGCCCTGTCCTTTCTTGGTTTTGCACATAATCCGGCAGATTGGAAATTGCTAGAACTTCAACGTACAGAATCAAAATAGTGGGTTGCATACATTTGTACATTGACAGCTTACTCCAAAACCCAAGGGTTGGCATTCATTCTAGTTTTTTTCCTATCTTTAAAGGCTGGATGTGACAACATACATTTGGTATAGTTCAGCAATGAGAACCCTACTGAGCCATGTGGCCTTTCTTCTTTTCTTCCTCTGGTCCCTCAATGAGCAGAACATATATAACTTTTACCTTTTTGCCAAAAGAGTAGTAGATGCTGGAAACAGTATTCCAGCAGAGGTAGTGAGTTGGTCAACAGTAAGTGAATTTAAAGTGGTTGTAAACTCCAGACATGAAAAATGAGCAAAGCACATCCCTCTATAGTGTGTACTTGTCTCAATCCAGACCACTAAGTGTCATTTCTGTCTGCTGCTTCATTCCTCTGCTATCAGCATGAATCACGTCTGACAAGTTTTCCTGACACCAAGAGAAAAAGGACAAAGTCTGTGATTGACAACCTCAGCTCTGTGTGCTGTGTGGAGGGGGGGGGGGGGGGGGGGGGGGGGGGTGTATCCCTTCACTCCAATCAGCTCTCAGAACTCTCCTCACTGATTTAACTTCAGCTCTCCACCCCCTGCTTTTCAGAGATAAGTGATCCTGTGTAAATTCTGCACTTTGATGGGATGTAGGGGAAAGATGGCTGTAGGCAGGGGCGGACTGACCATTTGAAAACTCTGGCACTGCCCGTGGCCCCGGGGTCAGTAGGGGGCCTCATGAGATGCCCCTGGTACCTTTTTCATAGGTTTTTTTGAGTTTGGACAAGGACACAGGGGCCCCATGATCCTCTATTGCCCGGGGGCCCCGTGAGTTGTCAGTCAGCCCCTGGCTGTAGGTAAACAGGTACAACTTATATGGGAGGGTTTGTTTCATCTCTGTATCACCTGAGGCCATCACTTCACTGGGTATATGTAAAGGTTTACAATCACTTTAACCATGCTTGGAACAAACCTAGATCTATACTCCGATATAAAAGTTAAAAAAAGGCAGACTTGATGGCCAATTTGGTCTATTTCAGTTCTATGTAAAATTGGAATCAAAAGTTTGCTAAAAAGGGATGCAGACGTTGATGCAGCCAAAAAAAACACCAGGAGCCAAACAGTTAAAATGGGGGGGCTGCCGAGAGGAAACCTAATCTGTGGTTATGGGGACGGAGCACTAATTCACTTCATAACCTCATGCACTACATCACATAAAAAAAGCAAAGAGCTCTGTTTATACATTCATCCCGTCTCCAGCTTGTCTTGGAGGGCCTCTCATTTCCTGGCCTTCAGCTCACGCGCCATCTGACACAGTGCGCAAGGTCCACAGAAGGTGAGGCACACACAGTCATTACAGATCGTGCCCTGTAATACAAAGAGAAATATCAAAAAGAGTGTCCAAATCAGTGATGGTCAATTTATTAGATATGGGGGGGGGGGGGGGTTAAACTAAAACTTAAACAAAACTAAAAATGTGTTTCACAGTTACATAGTTAGTCTGGCTGACAAAAATCCATCCAGTTCAACCATTAAAAAAAAAAAAAAAATTTATAATCCTACACCCACAGTTGATCCAGAGGAAGGCAAAAAACCCAGCAAAGTATGATCCAATTTGCTCCTGCAGGGGAAACAATTCCTTCCTGATCCCCCGAGAGGCAATTGGATATTCCCTGGATCAACTTTACCTATAAATGTTAGTATCCAGTTATATTCTGTGTATCCAAGAAACAATCCAGGACTTTTTTGATTCGAAATCTAACAAATTTCGTGTAGTTGGATTTGGTAAATTCATTCAGTTAGTTTTTGGGATTCGTATTCAAATTCTTTTTGTTTGCAAATGATTTTTATTAACCGCTCACCTACAGGGCACTTATACCCCCTTCCTGCCCAGGCCAATTTCCAGCTTTCAGCACTGTCAAACTTTGACTGACAATTGCGCGGTCATGCAACACTGTACCCATATGAAATGTTTATCTTTTTTTGTGACAGAGCTTTCTTTTGGTGGTATTTAATCACCTCTGGGTTTTTTTATTCTTTCTTAAACAAATCAAAAACCACTGAAAATTAAAAAAAAAAAAAAAGTTTTAGTTTGTTATAAAATTTTGTAAATAACTGATTTTTCTCCTTCACTGATGTGCGCTAATGAGGAGGCAGCAGTGATGGGCACTGATATGCTGCACTGATGGACACTGATAGGTGGCACTGATGGATACTGATAGGTGGCACTGAAAGGCGCGCACTGATATGGCACTGATATTCGGCACTGATAAGCGGCACTGACTGGTACTGATAAGTGGCACTGACTGGCACTGATGGGTGACACTGGAGGGCAGCTCAGATGGGCACTGGCACGTGGCACTGTTCGGCACTGACAGCTGGCACTGATGGACACTGACCGGTGGCACTTCTGGGGCCACACTGATCATCAGGGCACACTGATCATCAGTGCCCTGATGATCAGTGTACATGTCCCCTCTGCGGAATGCTGATTACCGGCTCTCCTCTCCTCTGTCAGCGTGACAGCTCGAGAGGAGAGAAATGCCAATAACCGGCATTTCCCTGTTTACATGCGATCAGCTGTGATTGGACACAGCTGATCACATGACCGAGCCGACATCTTCGGCTCTTTCCGTGGATCGGTGATCCGCTGTGTCCGAGGGACACAGAGCACCGCAGATCGCCGCGCTGCGCGCTCCCTGAGCCGCGCATGCGCCGTGAGAATGGAAGGACATCAAAAGACGGCCTATCAGAATGAGAGAACCACCTTGCGCCCGTCATTGGACTATATGGCGGGCGGGAGGTGGTTAGAGGATAGACAACAGTAACAGTATAACCACTTGAGGATCAAAACAGCTCAAGAAAAAAGGTACATAGGTGAGAAACAGGAGTATATAATGGGCAGCACAGTGGCTAAATGGTTAGCACTTCCGCCTGGCAGTACTAGGGTCGTTGGTTCGAATCCCAACCACGGAACCACCTGCCTGGAGTTTGCATGTTCTCTTTGTGCCTGCATGGGTTTCTTCCAGGTACTCCAGTTTCCTCCCACATTCCAAAGATATGCTGGTAGGTTAATTAGCTCCTGTCTAAATTGGCCCTAGTATGTTACATAGTCTGGCTGAAAAAAGAAAAAAGTCCATCCAGTTTAACCATAGCAAAAAAAAAGGTTATAATCCTATATTCACAGTTGATCCAGAGGAAGGCAAAATACACGTGTATGTATGAATGTGAGTTAGGGACCTTAGATTTTACACTCCTTGAGGGTTAGGGACTGATGTGAATGTACAATGTATGTAACGCACTGTGTTAATTGATGGCGCTATACAAGTACCTGTAACAATATAAGATACAAGCATAAAAAAAGAACTTCACATACATGAATGAGGCAGTCAGTAAAAAAATAAAAAAACAACCAAGCTGTTAAATATTCGAAGCACATTGAACCATGATAGACCATCAGTCAGACAATAAATGCCAATGTGTGTTCCAACCATCCCATTTTCTGTTGAACAAGTGCATCCCATCTAGCAGTGTATAGTGGATACGTTCCATGAGCATAATCATGTCGACTCTCCGCAACACACAGGCCAAAAGGAACAGTCGGTGAATTCCAGTGAAGGAAGTGGCGTCCGTAGGCGGGTGCGCACCGCATGACACCTATTGCACGTGGTGACACCGGACCCACTCCACAAAAAGGTAAGTTTTGAAGTTCTAGTCTGGAGGTGGGCATATACAGGGCTGCTATTAGAAACCACAGTGCTCCGTACAGCCAACCTGACAGTGCCCCCTTAAAAAAAACAAAACAAACAACTCAGTTTACTATGCTTCGGTTGTGAATGAACACAGTGAGTGATCAGTAATGATCATTCATTGTGTTCATTAATGAGAGGAAGGGGCTGGTTAATGTGACATATTTATTGGACCGTTCCCCCACTCTCCATCCTGAAGGAATGGCTTGGGCCCCGTACAGAAGGACTGGTGGGTACCCCCTTATCCACAGCCCTGGGCATATATTGTTCAAGGGAGGTGTATGCATGAGTAGCATTGGTGATCATCTCTAGAAGATATCGATGTATTGTGGTTAATTTGGAGACAGATACTACTTTGGACTTTATTATTCTTCTATAGTGAAAGTTTGTGGGTTGCGCGGCATCTTTGGTTGAATTGTTTCCATGCCGATAGTATTCCGACTAGCATTCAAACTAGGAACCCCCAGTGCTGCAAGCGGTTTGCCTGGAGCTCAGTTTTGAACCCATGAGACTGTAAATCTGAAGTATCAAGTGTCCCTCCACGGGTCGAAGGAGCATAGCTTTGGAAAGGTTCCATATGTGTTTTTATCATTCATTAAACAGACGTAACCTCCGGTTTCTACAGATTTACATCAGAAGAGGAACACCATCACACCAAATAGGATATGAACAGCAAAGTAAAATCCAGCTGCTCATAACCTGGTTAACACTTAATCCTACTTCTCTATGAAGGGAAGTAAAGTGATGAGTGCTCTGGAATTCATATTGAGGAAATCAAGAATTTGAGGCCCTAGGGCAACGTTTCCCCTAGTCCCTCTGCAGACAGCTTCAAAGAGAAAATGCAATAACAAGAAAGAAAACAAGGCTCAGAGGACAGAGAACTAATTAAAAACAGGACTGGCGTGAGCACAGGGTCAACTTCTCACATGCTACACACTGGCTATAAAAGGCAAATGGCTCCTGTCTGCCCAATAAACCCTTTGTCTTGTCTTTGCAACCAGATATTGGGTTGTTTAGGGGCAACACAATGGATTATTGGTCAGCACTTAGGCCTTGCAGCGTGGGCAATCCTTGGTTTGAATCTTGACCAAAGTGGTGACTATCTGCATGTTTTTGTATGTTCTCGGGTCTTCGTGTGGGTTTCCTCCCAGGTACTCCAGTTTCTTCTTGCACACGACATGCTGCTAGGTAAATTGCCCTAGTATGGGAGTACAAATTGCCTCTGTATACCAGCCACAAGCCTGAACAATTGAGGAGGGTTGAGGAACGTGACCTACCTATGGAAAAGGCTTTTAACCTAATCAGCCATGGGTTGCCCAGAGAGCTGGCCTACAGAATTGCCCAGAGCTGGATACCATTGAACAAGTACATACATACATTGGGTTGAAGGGCGCTTTTCAGAGGGCATTTGACAGTCAGTTAAGAGGCGTATAATACCGGGTCACTGCCTGATTTAACCCCTGCAATCAACCAACAGGCTAATAAGAAAAAAAAAAATGAATTGCCAATGGCCAGCTTAACTGATCAATGGGGGGCTAGGGTGGAGGAAGAGGGTTGGACCAAACACAACATTTAAAGGAACGTCAGCAGCTGCAATGAACTTTAGCTGCTGATTTTTATTTTTTTCTGTGTGTACAGTATGTATTTCACATGGGTTGCTATGGTGTCGCTGGGGGTAATAAAAACTGGTCCTTGCTACAGGAAGATAAAAGGAAAGTTAGGCAGGCCATAGACGGGCCGTTTATCGATTACCAAATTTTCGGCCCATAAACAAAAAAATCGGTCGGCCCTGTTGCCGATGCTGCCACCCCATGTCCACAAAAACGGACGTTTTTTTTGCGGATTTTTCCTCCAGCATGACCGATAAAACTAAACGAGAAGATCTGCGAAAAACGGCAATGGACTGGCCCCACTAACGGCGTGAATAATCGGGCGATTTTCCGTGCGGACAAAAATTTGGCCGATAAACAACCCATCTATGGCCTGCATTAGAGATGGGGCATGTTTAAGCGGCGGTTTATTTACATTTTGGGGTAATGCCATATATTTTAAAAATATCTGTTGTCTTTTACAAATGTGTTATATAGGATATGAACTATTCAGCAACTATTCATTCAGTGTATAATAGAGATGTGCATGATGTAAAATTTTGTTTCATTTGTTTTTGGATTCGCACGTTACGTTAATAATTTCATTTCATCATATTCGTTGTGTTAAAATGATTTGTTTTTGGAATTCATTTAGTATATTTGGGTTCGTTTTATATATTTGTTATTTTCAAATCAATTAAATAATTTAAATTTCAGAACACAGCTATATTCATTCTTTTCTAATTTTGAATTCGTGACCTTTGATCGGCTTCTGGTTAAAGGTTTGGAAATAAGTTTTCTACAGTAGAGAGTATTTGAGGTGATAATGCTGCTAATGTTTTTTTTATAAAAATGTATGTTTTTAATGTAACTGTGAAGCACTTTCGGCAACAACATTGCAATTAAATGTGCTATATAAATAATTAAAAGTTGAAATGCATTTCTCACTCTATCAAGCTTGCCATGTGCACTTTTTAAATTTGATCAATCAATTGGTTAGTGTAATGTTTACTATCTTTACTCACTCCAAACACTCCACCCAGTTACTCCGCCCACTCACAGTTGCAGAGTACTGGGAGGCAAGAACACTTCACACAATTTCCCCAGAAATTGTAGCTTTTCTAGTTATAAAATATTATATAGTGCCACAACTAACATTGGTAACCTTGGAATATAAATACATCATCTTCAGAAGCTGGAAAACATTGCACAGTACTGAAAAGAATGAAGAGGACATGAATTACTGATACATAAGCCAGCCATAGATAGTTCAAATCTCAGCCACTTCAGCATCTATGGGCAGGCTGATTTTACCCAATTCGATTGTTATATGACTTGGGTACAACCAGCCAGTCTGATTTTGCATGTGATTATTCCCAGTGGCTATAGCCTCTAGCAATAATCACTGTGTTCTCCTAGCAGGGAAGGCTCCCCATGCCTCCCCCTTGCCAGGAGAAAACACTATAGCTCCACGGGAGGGATTCTGACCATGTTGATGGGGGAATGGAGTGATTTTCTTTCCTGCAACCATGGGGAAAATCCAATTGTCTTTGGCTGGCTTTAGAGTAAAGGGCCAGAAAGTGAACTTGTGTGGCTTCAGTAGCCGAAATCAAATACATGTTCCAGTTACAAAAATCAGCAAAGGTTATGTAATAACAAAATTCTTACCGGGATACGATGCCGTTTCCCTGAGACCTGGTGCGCATGGCAAGCACGGCACCACCAATCACGGGCAAGCAGCAGCATTCGCCGTAATCTGAGGCCACTTTACAAGCTAAGCATAGGGGAAGAATGCTCCACATAGACCTGAGAGGGATAAAAGAACACAATGGGGTTAAGGATAGCTAGAAAGCCACACCAAATGGAAAAAGTCTATCCTCAATGAATACATAGTTAGTCTGGCTGAAAAAAGACCACAGTCCATCCGGCTCAACCATAAAAAAAAAAAAAGTTCTAATCCTATACCCACAGTTGATCCAGAGGAAGGCAAAAAAAAAAAAAACCCAGCAAAGCATGATCCAATTTGCTCCTGCAGGGAAAAAATCCTTCCTGATCCAACGAGAGGCAATCGGATATTTCCTGGATCAACTTTACTTATAAATGTTTAGTATCCAGTTGTATTCTGTGTATCCAAGAAATAATCCAGGACTTTTTTAAAGCAATCTACTGACCTGGCCAGACTCTTGAGGGAGTCTATTCCACATTTTCACAGCTCTTACTGTGAAGAAACCTTTCCTTGTTTGGAGATTAAATTTCATTTCCTCCAGACATAAAGAGCGCCCCTTGTCCCCTGTGATGACCTCAGGGTGAATAACTCTACACCGAGTTCACTATATGAACCACTGATGTATTTATACATGGAGTTCATACCCCCCCCCCTTATGTATTATACATGGAGATCATATCCCCCTTATGTATTATACATGGAGATCATATCCCCCCTTATGTATTATACAAGGAGATCACATCCCCCTTATGTATTATACATGGAGATCATATCCCCCCCTTATGTATTATACATGGAGATCATATCCCCCTTATGTATTATACATGGAGATCATATCCCCCCTTATGTATTATACATGGTGATCATTATCCCCCCTTATGTATTATACATGGAGATCATATCCCCCTTATGTATTATACATGGAGATCATATCCCCCTTTATGTATTATACACGGTGATCATATCCCCCCTTATGTATTATACATGGAGATCATATCCCCCTTATGTATTATACATGAGATCATATCCCCCCTTATGTATTTATACATGGTGATCACATCCCCCTTATGTATTATACATGGAGATCACATCCCCCCTATGTATTATACATGGAGATCACATCCCCCCCCTTATGTATTATACATGGAGATCATATCCCCCTTATGTATTATACATGGAGATCATATCCCCCCCTTATGTATTATACATGGAGATCATATCCCCCCCCCCTTATGTATTATACATGGAGATCATTTCCCCCCCCCCTTATGTATTATACATGGAGATCATATCCCCCCCCCCTTATGTATTATACATGGAGATCATATCCCCCCTTATGTATTATACATGGAGATCACATCCCCCCTTATGTATTATACATGGAGATCACATCCCCCCTTATGTATTATACATGGATATCATATCCCCCCTTATGTATTATACATGGAGATCATATCCCCCCTTATGTATTATACATGGAGATCATATCCCCCCTTATGTATTATACATGGAGATCATATCCCCCCCTTATGTATAATACATGGAGATCATATCCCCCTTATGTATTATACATGGAGATCATATCCCCCCTTATGTATTATACACGGAGATCATATCCCCCCTTATGTATTATACACGGAGATCATATCCCCCCTTATGTATTATACATGGAGATCATATCCCCCCTTATGTATTATACATGGAGATCATATCCCCCCTATGTATTATACACGGAGATCATATCCCCCCTTATGTATTATACATGGAGATCATATCCCCCCTTATGTATTATACATGGAGATCATATCCCCCTTATGTATTATACATGGAGATCATATCCCCCCTTATGTATTATACATGGAGATCATATCCCCCCTTTTGTATTATACATGGAGATCATATCCCTCCCTTATGTATTATACATGGAGATCATATCCCCCCTTATGTATTATACATGGAGATCATATCCCCCCTTATGTATTATACATGGAGATCATATCCCCCCCTTATGTATTATACATGGAGATCATATCCCCCCTTAATCTCCTCTTCTCAAGAGAGAATACATTCAGTTCCTCTAATCTTTCCTCATAGCTGAGCTCCTCCATGCCTCTTATCAGTTTGGTTGCCCTTCTCTGTACTTTCTCCAGTTCCCCAATGTTTCTTTTTGTGAATTGGTGCCCAAAACTGAACTGCATATTCCAATGAGGTCTTACTAATGATTTGATACCTCTTGGAATATAGAGTTTAGCAGGCATCTATTCCGTCTTTACATACTTTGCCTGAAGTAGGGATTGGAAGATACCTTGTACATGTTGATATATTTTGTTTTTGTTGAGGAAACCCTTCTGGTATCCAAACACCACCCCTGGCACTAAACCCCATTTTTTCCTTTGTAGCCAATGGGGAATCAGGATGGTGATACAGATCCTACAGTCACTCAACAAACTTCAAAAAAGGTAAGAATCCTAAGGTTGCATTCACACTTGAACGTTTTGTAGCTTGAAGCTCCAGAAAAGCTCAAACACCTGATCGCGCGAACAGGCACCATAGAGAACAATTGTTTTTTTAAGTTTGAGCGTTTTTGAAGCTTCAAGCTACAAAACGTTCAAGTGTGAATACAGCCTCACTCATATCAACTTTATGCTGGCCATACATTACATTCTGAATGTTCCTACAGAAATTCTGAGATTTTAATCTCGTCACCTTCAACTAACTTCATTCAAAAACCCTTTTTTTCTTCAGACCTGCTTCTTGAGTGAATAGGTGTATTAAACATGTTTCTATTGTGTCCAGAACATGCAAATTACAATATGTACAGTTTGTCCCAAACAAAAAAACCAAGTTTCCAGAAGTTTTTTCATTGGGGAAAACATTCCATCCCCTTCCCTTCAAATTTTCTCATTACTACAGTACAGTCAAAAATTGATTTGAGTCCACTAAGCTATAGGAAATAAAAAAAAAAAAAAAAAAAAATTCTGAAAATGAAAATTTCTGGAATAATTCCACTAGTGTATGGTCAGCATTAGGAGACACTGCTCTAGACCAGGGGTGTCAAACTGGCGGCCCTCCAGCTGTTGCGAAACTACAAGTCCCATCATGCCTCTGCCTTTGGGAGTCATGCTTGTAAGTTTCAGCCTTGCAATGCCTCATGGGACTTGTAGTTTGGCAACAGCTGGAGGGCCGCCAGTTTGACACCCGCGCGCTCTAGACAATATCCTAACTATGCCTGCTGGACGGACCAGTACTCATTGTTAGTACTGCATTATGGAAAAAATAACCACTCCATAAAAAGCCAACAACCACACCATCTCAGCACTAGCCATGCTTCTTATTGTTCCGGATTTCTACAGATTCCTCCATTTGTTTTTTAGAAGAATATTATCTCACAGTTTTATAGTATTGTGGTTATAACTTAGTTATATATAGATTATATTATAGTCATAGCAGGGGTGGACTGACAACTCATGGGGCCCCCGGGCAATAGGGGATCATGGGGCCCTGTGTCCTTTCCCAAACTCAAAAAAAAAAAAAAAAGTACCAGGGGCATCTCATGGGGCCCCTACTGACCTCAGGCCCTCGGGCAGTGCAGAGTTTCCAAATGGTCAGTCCGCCCCCGAGTTATAGTATTATAGCTTGTCATTTTGTATTGATGTGAACCTTGTACTTGGGGGGCCTTAAAACCTTTGAAAGCCTTCTGAGCATTTTTTGTTTCTGAAAATCTAAGACTCCATGTACACTGCAGCTGATAAACTGACGTTCAGGAGCTGTTCTGCGTTTTTTTTCAGCAGCCCCTGAACTCTCCCTAATGTTTTCCTATGTGTCCATGTACACATAGTCATTTACAGTCGTTTACAGGCAGTTGAGTTTACAGTCGTTTTTTTTGAACGCACCAAACTTGTGTTCAGGAGTAGATTTTATCAGCGTTTCAAACGCCGAATGCTTGTAAACGCGGCTAACCACGCTTATAAGCGTTTGGAAAATTTATTTTAACTCTTTCATTTCCAGATGCTGTCCAGAGCCTTTTTTCATCATGAAAAATGCATGCAAAGCGTTTTCCCGGTACTCAAATGGACCCGGTACACCATACTTTGAGGTTTTGCATGAATGTTAGACACTGCTGCAATAATTTCTGCACAGAATTGAACTGGAACATATCCAAACACCACAAAAAAAAAAAAGACAGCTAATCTCAACACATACTGCTCCCTCTGCTTCTGCTCTCTCTATTCCTCTCAAATGTCTGAAATAGTTAACCTCTCCTGAGGTTCTTAAAAAAAACGCTTCTAAACGCAAATGCTCATAAATGCGCACAAACTGGTATGCAAACGCAGCTAAACCGACATTTTTTAACCTATGTTTTCCAGCAGTCAGTTTCCATCATTCAGAAGTGTTTTCCAAACGTCCCGTGTACATGGAACCTAAATGTGATATTATGCATTTCATTTTTTTAGACAATAGGTGGCGCTCTAGGCTCTCACACGGTTTCTTAATTGCTTTGTTAAAATATTATGCAAGAGTTTGAAGTTAGATAAAATTTTTTATTGCTGTCGGTGTGTTTATTTGAGATATTTCCTCTCAAAACCCATCCTGATGACACCAAGACAAGAAATGAGAAGGGTGTGGGTGTCATTGAGAGCAATAAAACCCTGACAAATGTTCTAATGTCTCCATTAAAAAGTAAATAGATTTGTTTTTGCTGCTGCCTTTTTTATAATCAGAAAGATATCTCATTATTTTATATCCTTGTGTCACCAGGAAAGGAGGTAACTCCGATCCATTACACAGAGGCTAAATGGTTAGCACTTCCGCCTGGCTTTACTAGGATTGTCGGTTCAAATCCCAACCATGGCACTACCTGCCTGGAGTTTGCAAGTTCTCCCTGTGCCTGCGTGTGTTTCCTCCGGGTACTCCGGTTTCCTCCCACACTCCAAAGACATGCTGGTAGGTGAATTCGATCCTGTCTAAATTGTCCCTAGTATGTGTATGTATGAATGCGAGTTAGGGACCTTAGATTGTACGCCCCTTGAGGGTTAGGGAATGAAATAAATAAAATTACAACAGTGAATGTACAACATATATGTAAAGAACTGTGTAAATTGACAGCATTATACAAGTACCTGAAATAAATAAAATTACAACAGTGACTTCTCCCTTTCTTCTCCCTTCCTTTCTATTTTGTTTCAATCCAACAGAGACAGTCTGAAAGAAAACAGCTTTCTCTCTAGAAAACCAATATTTTTCTGTGACACTGGTGTCATGGGTATATCCTATATTAAAGTGGAAGTAAACAACTTTTTTCATATATTACCTACAGGTAAGCCATTAACCCCTCGCCCTCCAGAGGATTTACCCCCCTTCCTGACCAGGCAATTTTTTGCGTTACGGTGCTGCGTTATTTCAACTGACAATTGCCCGGTCATGCAATGCTGCACCCAAAATGAAATTTACGTCCTTTTTTTTCCCCCCACGAATTGAGCTTTTTTTTTTTTTTTTTTTTTACCTACAGCGCTATAACCACAAAGACCTGACAATTATTAAAAAAAAAATTTACCCCCCCCCCACGATATTTTTGTCTATTAAACATGTCCAGTAAAAAAAAATAAAAATTTCCTCATAAATTTAGACCAAAATGTATTCTGCTACATGTCTTTGCTAAAAAAAAAAATGCCCAATATGTGTAAATTAATTGGTTTACGTGAAAGTTATAGCGTTTACAAAAGGTGGTATATACACTGGAATTTTTAATTTTTTACTAGTAATGGCGGCGATCAGCGATTTATAGCGGGACTGCTGCGGGCATTCTGACACTAGAGGGAACTGACTTGGTGTCACTGGCATCCCAAGTGATACCAATACAGTGATCAAAAAAACCCCCCCAAACACTGACACTGTATTTATGGCACTGGGCAGGAAGGGGTTAAGATTAGGGGCGATCAAAGGGTTAACTGTGTGCTCGGAGTGTTTTACTATGGGGCGCTGATGAGCTGACAGGGAGGAGAACTGTTTTGTTAACAAATGGTTCCAGAGATGCTGGGCAATCACCGGGCGCCGGCAAGTAATCAGTGGCCAGGACCCGGTGATTGATAGCCGCGGCCACAAATCGTGGTGCAGGTAGGGAGCATGCCCCCCCCCCCCCCCCCCCGGAACTGCAAAATCACGTGATTTTGTGCACCCGTGCAGCCCTGTAGCAGTGTTTCTGCTATAGGGCGGTCGGGAAGCAGTTAGTAAGGCTTACCTGTAGGTACTGTAAATAGCTTCTAAATGTGCACTGTTTAGGAGATATCTACTTTAGAAGCGCTGTCACCAGGGCATGCGCACTGTTGTGCTGTGGTCGAAACTCCCTTCACGCATGCACGGGAGTGACGACATCACAGCCCGGCCAATCAGATGGCCGCAACTAGTGAACCCAGAAGAAAGACCAGGTAAAGATACACACGAGCCACTTTATTAGGTACAACCCAGGGGTGGACTGACAACTCATAGGGCCCCAGGGCAATAGGGGATCATGGGGCCCCTGTGTCCTTGCCCAAACTCAAAAAAAGCCTATGAAAAAAATAAAAAGGTACCAGGGGCATCTCATGGGGCCCCCTACTGACCCTGGGCAGTGCCAGAGTTTCCAAATGGTCAGTCCACCCCTGGTACAACCTTCTAGTGCCAAGAAAAAATCCCCCACACCATTACACCACCACCACCACCAGCCTGAACCGCTGATACAGGCAGGATGGAGCCATGCTTTCATGTTTGCGGCAAATTCTGACCCTACCATCTGAATGTCGCATCTGAAATCAAATGCCTGTTCTCCTCTGACCTCAACAAGGCATTTTCGTCCACACAACTGCCGCTCACTGGGCATTTTCTTTTTTTTTCAGACCATTCTCTGTAAACCCTAGAGATAGTGTGGGATAATCCCAGTAGATCAGCAGTTTTTAAAATACTCAGACCAGCCCGTCTGACACCAACAACCATAACACGTTCAAAGTAATTTAAATCCCCTTTCTTCCCCATTCTGATGCTCGGTTTGAACTTCAAGTCATCTTCACCACATCTAGATGCCTAAATACATTGAGTTGCTGCCATGTGATTGGCTGATTAGCAATTTGTGTTACCAAGCAATTGAACAGGTGGACCTAATAAAGGGGCTGGTGAGTGTATGTATATACACTATAGTGCCAAAAGTATTGGGCCAGCCCTCCAAATTATTGGGTTCTAATGTTACAACCACCTCCATGGACACAGGTGTATAAAATCAAGCTCCTAGGCATGCAGGCTGCTTCTACAAACATTGGTGAAAGAATGGGTCGCTCTCAGGAACTCAGTGACTCCAAGCGTGGTCCCGTGATAGGTTGTCACCTGTGCAATAAGTCCATCCGTGACATTTCCTGGCTACTAAATATTCCACACTCAACTGTTAGTGGGATTATAACAAAGTGGAAGCAATTGGGAACAACAGGAACTCAGCCACCAAGTGGTAGGCCACGTAAAATGACAGAGCAGGGTCAGCGCATTCTGAAGTGCACAGTGCGCAGAAGTCGCCAACTGTCTGTAGAGTCAATAGCTAAAGACCCTCAAACTTGGTGTGGCCTTCAGATTAGCACAACAAAAGTATGTAGAGAGCTTCATGGAATGGGTTTCCATGGCCGAGCAGCTGCATCCAAGCCTTACATCACCAAGTGCAATGCAAAGTATCAGATGCAGTGGTGTAAAGCATGCCGCCACTGGACTCTAGAGCAGTGGAGACGCTCTCTCTGGAATGATGAATCATGTTTCTCTGTCTGGCAATCTGATGGACATGTCTGGATTTGGAGGATGCCAGGAGAACGTTACTTGCCTGACTGCATTGTGCCAAGTGTAAAGTTTGGTGGAGGGGGGATTATGGTGTGGGGTTGTATTTTCAGGGGTTGGGCTTGGCCCCCTAGTTCCAGTGAAGGGAACTCTTAAGGCGTCAGCATACCAAGACATTTTGGACAATTTCACGTTCCCAACTTTGTGGGAACAGTTTGGGGATGGCTCCTTCCTGTTCCAACATGACTGCGCACCAGTGCACAAAGCAAGGTCCATAAAGACATGGATGAGCGAGTTTGGGGTGGAGGAACTTGACTGGCCTGCACAGAGTCCTGACCTCAACCCCATAGAACACCTTTGGGATGAATTAGAGCGGAGACTGCGAGCCAGGCCTCCTCCCCCGACATCAGTGCCTGACCTGACAAATGTACTTCTGGAAGAATGGTCAAACCTTCCCATAGACACCCTCCTAAACCTTGTGGACGGCCTTCCCAGAAGAGTTGAAGCTGTTATAGCTGTAAAGGGCGGGGCCAACTCAATATCGAACCCTACGGACTAAGACTGGGATCCCATTATAGTTCATGTGCGTGTAAAGGCCGGCGGAACAATACTTTTGGCAATATAGTGTATTTACTGTATATAAGTAGTAAAAAAACAGATTTAAAACATCAGTTTAAAAAAAAGTAAAAAAACAGTAAAATAACATTACCCAAATCTGTTTAACAATAAATTCATACTTACAGACTCCGCAGTCATCACAGCAATCAAAGACGTCAGAATTCCAGCTGCTGGTTGTCGATGATGTGCTGATTAGCTGCACCATCTGAGGCTGGGTGCTCACTGGGTAGGTCATTGTAACCTGCAAAAAAAAAGCACAAGGGAAGAAAATGTTCAAGCAGCAACTGAAACAATTCGATCAAATAAAGCTAATCAGTGAAAATCAAATGTTATCCACGAAATGCTGCAACTCAGTTAAATTCCATCAACTTTACCTTCTGTATTTTTTTTACTAAACCCAGGACCCTGCATTCACTATATCTGGTCTCCCCGGACCCTGCATTCACTATATCTGGTCTCCCCGGACCCTGCATTCACTATATCTGGTCTCCCCGACCCTGCATTCACTATATCTGGTCTCCCCGGACCCTGCATTCACTATATCTGGTCTCCCCCGGTCCCTGCATTCACTATATCTGGTCTCCCCGGACCCTGCATTCACCATATCCAGTCTCCCACAGTACACACAACATAGAAGTGCAATTTTAGTAAATATAAACTGCTAAATACCTTTTCCCATCAGCAGTTAGAGCAGGCTTGTGACTTCTATCAGTGTCCAGCTGACCACTGGTTAAAACTTGTACGAGGAGTTTTCATTCTCCCGATTGTCCTATGAGGCTGTATAACCCCTGACCCTCTGTCTGGAAAGCAATGATTGGCCCTGTGCTGATCACATGCACTCTCTCAAAGAAAAAAAAAACTCTAGCAATACAAACTTAAAAGCATGTGCAGAGTTCCTCCTATTGCTCTGTACTATCAGCAGATGGATTGGGTACTGTGGAAGAAGGGAAGAAGGAAAGAGAGAGAAAGAGGGAAAGAGAGAGAAAGAGAGAAAGAGGGAAAGAGAGAGAAGAGAGGAAAGAGAGAGAAAGAAGGAAAGAGGGAAAGAGAGAGAAAGAAGGAAAGAGGGAAAGAGAGAGAAAGAAGGAAAGAGGAAAAGAAAGAAGGAAAAAGAAGGAAAAAGAAGAGAAAGAAGAGAAAAAGAAGGAAAGAGAGAGAGAGAAGGAAAGAGGGAAAGAGAAAGAGGGAAAGAAGGAAAGAGAGAAAGAAGGAAAGAGAGAGAAAGAGAGAAAGAAGGAAAGGGAGAGAAAGAAGGAAAGAAGGAAAGAGAGAGAAGGAAAGAAAGAGAGAGAAAGAAGGAAAGAGAGAGAAAGAATGAAAGAAGGAAAGAGAGAGAGAGAGAGAAGAAGGAAAGAGAGAGAGAAAGAAGGAAAGAGAGAGAAAGAAGGAAAGAGAGAAACGAGAAAAAGAAAGAAAGAAGACACAAGGCTGGAGGGGAGAGTGGGTGGGGCAGACACAGGAGGAGAGGGTGGGAGGAGGGGCAGAACCAGCTTTCTCTCTCCTCTTCCATCAGTGGTGGGGGGACTGTCAGCACTGGGGATAGAATATGCTGACAGATCCCCCTCAGCAGCTGCAGGGAGGGGGGAACCCAGCGGCAGCACTGCAGGAGATGAGGTGGTGCCGGGCCACAGGGGGAGCATACAGGAGCCCATGGCATGCAGGAGATGGATAGGAGGGGTGGCTGGGCAGCACATAGGGAGAACCGAGAAATGCATGGACCGGTTCATAAATGTGCCGCTCGGCTTCCCCTCCTATCCATGCGGCCCTGGCCCGCCGGGCAAATACCCAGTGTGCCCTATGGCCAGTCCGGGCCTGGCGCTATGCAAGTACCTGAAATAAATACAGTAAATAAAATATTAAACCCCCATCAGTCTGGACAGCAGATTTTACCGATCGTGTGAACCTTTATCCCCGAATACAGCAATATCATGTTTCCTTGGAAAACACTCCAATTATAGCAGATATCTGACCCCTACCAGGAAACTCAAAATTTCAGAATTTGCAGGGTGACCTTTCCCCTGATTGTAAAAAGCTGATTGAAGATATGTTGGAACAATGTAGAAATATTCTGCAATTCATATTGGCATTACCATAAAAATCAGCAGTAGTAAATCTAGAAGTTCAGTTTTTTACTTTACTAATAAAATTGTGCAAATCTGCTTCAAAGTCTTCATAGTTAAACAGAACGTATACTATCTTCACTGATTTTAGAAAGAAATGTAAAAGTTTCAGGCTGATGTAAATCTTAACTCCAAGGTCAGTGTTGGGCTTTAAGGACCTGATCACGTCTGAGCACTTTTGCTGTGCTGAGGGTTCATTCACATCAGATGCATTGGGGTACTTTTGTGATCACATTCCTAAAGCATGGCAACCAAAAAACAATGGTTCCCTATGAATGAAGTTCACACCAGTGTGTTGTGTTGCATTGCAATTGCTCAGCACTGAAAAAAAGTAGGAGCATGCTTTACCGCTTTTCAACACGACACGTTCAAATGCACATATACACGGAATGGAAATCAAAAGGTAAACAAGGCAAAAAAAAAAAAACCCCAACAAATGTAACACATGTAAAATGCATTAAGGCTCCATTCACACTTGTGCAACTACAAAATTGCGTGATTTTCATTGCGACTTTACAGTGCAACTTGATGTGACTTTGGATGAGTGCAACTTTGGCTTTAACTAAGGATGATTGTTTGAGCTCTACAAAGTTTCACACAAGTTGAACGTACAGGATTCAGGTGCAACTTTCATGTGACTTTGGAGGGTTTACATTGAAGTCTATGGCCCTCAAGTCGCAAAAAAGTCAGACCAAAGTAGTGCAGGAACAACAACTTGAAGTTGCAGATATGAATGTTACTCATTGGGAACATGGGGTGCAACTTGTCATGAACCCCAGAGTGTAATGCCAAGTCGCACAAGTGTGAATGGGCTCTAAAACAACAAAAATGAAAAGCACGTGTGTTAATGCAATGTGTGAAAAAAACCCTTAGACCACATTCACACTTGTAAAAGTTGCATGAAAAGCCATGCCTCATGTTTTCCATTGATAACCATTCATATACAGTATGTGCAACAAAAGGGGAACTTCTGCTTTAAGCCTTTGTCCTTCACTCCCCATTAACCACTTCCTGCCCAGGGCAATTTTCATCTTTCAGCACTATCACACTTTGAATGACAATTGCGCAGTCATGCAATACTGTACCCATATGAATTTTTTACCATTTTTTGAGACAGATAAAGCTTTATTTTGGTGGTATTTATTCACCGCTGGGATTTTTATTTTTTTTTTTTGCTATGTAAATGAAAACGTGCACAAATTTTGAAAAAAAAGTGTTTTTTTAAATAAAATTTTGCAAAGAAATAATATTTCATCATAAATCTTGGCCAAAATGTATTCCGTTATTTTTTTAGTAAAAAAAAAAAAATCCAAATTAGTTTATAACCAAAAATTATAATTTTAAAACTTTTTTTTAATATTTTTTATTTACATACTGTCACCCTAGCAGTACAGTGTCACCATGGTGACACTGTACTACTTGTGGGGGGTGATGAAGATTTTTTTTTTTTTTTTTACACTGATTGCTTTTACACCCATATAGGATGTAAAAGCAATCATTTCTCTTTCTCTCTGTCTGCATTCTTGCAGTCATTGAGAAGTACTGAGTGAGCTGTGATTGGTCACAGCTTGTCACATGGTACAAGGCTGTTGTGAATAGCCTTGTACCATGTGACCTCTGTGATCATTCACAGATTTCACACGTAGTAAGCAATGATGTCACAAGTGACATCTTGCTTACTACTTTGCATGTGATCACTGATTGGCCAATCAGTGATCACATGATCGGGACCTCGTACAGAGGTCTCGTCCGACGATCGGTGTTTCACTGTGTCCGGAGGACACAGCAGGCACCGGATTGCGGTGCTGCATGCTCCCAGGGAGCGCGCACAGCTAGAAAAAGTTGGTGCCGTTTATGTACGGCAACGCCCCTGCACTGCCACCGCCCTGCTGTTTATAAACAGCAGGCGGACGGCAAGTGGTTAAGGATTGGCACCTTTGGGGAGTGGGGGGGGGGGGGGGTACCCAAATTTGACAGGTGCCCGCTCCCACTGTGATCGCCTAGGCGATTGGAAGTGGAAATTGTCCTCCCCGTAGTCTTCTGGGACACATGACAGGTCCCAGAAGACTATGGGGCCATTCTCAAAGTCCAACGCTTCTTACGCATGCGCAGTGGGCACCCGGCTGTGAAGCCACAAGCTGTCACAGCCGGGTGCCCACACTGAAGATGCCGGTGCCAGGGAGAGAAGATAGCCGGTGAAACTAGCAGTGGTGAGGCCACCGCTGGACCGAGGGACAGGCAAGTTGCTGTATTTTAAGTCAGCAGCTACAGTTTTTGTAGCTGCTGACTTTGATATTTTTTTCTGCAGGTAGAACTCAATCTTTAATTTTGCAGCGACTTCAAAATAGTTCATGCACTACTTGGGTACAGCTCTCATGCAACTTGAGGACCATAGACTTCAATGTTAACCCTCAAAAGTTGTGTGAAAGTCATACCTGAATGTTTTGCATGCAACAGTGGGTCCAACTTTGCAGAGGGACAAGTCACATCCAAGTCGAACCCATCCAAAGTTGCACCAAGATTGCCCTCTGAAATTGTGCAACTTTAGGGTCATACAAGTGTGAATGGAGCCTCAAACACACCCGCTCAGTGCATCAAAAGCATCGGGTCAGACTGACATTCGTTTTCAAAAATGCATAGGAGATTTTTTCTCGAATGAATGAAATTATAGCTGTGCATGTGGCTTTTGTTTGGGAAAATTATATATGATGTAATGAAACCTGTTTAGTACATCTAGGATTCCAGTCGAAGGGCAGGTCTGGAGGAAATTTTAAGGGCTTTCCAATGAAGTTAGTTGACTGAATGATTTGATTAACTAAAACTGGAGAGTGCAAAATCTGGTGCAGCTCTGCATAAAAACCAAGCAGCTTCCAGGATATATTGTTAAAGCTTAAGTGAACAAGCTGAAGCTAAAATCTGATTGGCTGCCATGCAGAGCTGCACCAGATTTTGAACTCTCCAGTTTAAGTAAATCAACCCCAATGATGGTAAGAAAGTGTTCACGGAAAACATGAACGGTCCATGTTAGAGTCAAACTTACGTTCGACTCGAACATGTAGACCATCACTACCTTAATAAGACTTACCTGTAGGTACTGTAAGTATCTCCTAAACGT